ACGAAAGACCAATGTTTCAATTGGAGAGGAAAATAGGGGCTCAATATGTGTTGAGAGATTGAGGATGAACCCTGAATGTGTGTTGAGCGCAGAGTGGAATATAAAGAATGGAGCTAGCTAGGTAAAATCAGCTTTTAGTCACTCACCTTACAAAATTAATAAGTTTTATCTTTTAATTTTATAATATGATATTTTTAATTTTTTATTTTACAAAATTAATAAATTTTAACTCTTCATCTTACAAAATTAATAAGTTTTAGCATTTTACCTTATATTATGATATTTTTAACATCTTATCTATAAGAATTAAAAAAAATAACTATCACTTAATATCAAGTTATAATATTCTGTTAGTTTTGCTAGTTGATTGTCAGTTCTGTTGGTTGACTGTCAATTTTATTAGCTGACTGTTGATTTTGTTAGTTGACTGTTAGTTGACTGTTACCATTCATTAGCATTCCATTAATGGAACTAACAAATAAAATTGAATTTAAATTTTATGTTTTCTATAACGAAATGCTAATGGATGTTAACAGGTAACTAACAGAACCAATAGAATATTATAACTTAATATTGAGTGGGAGTTATTTTATTTAATTCGTATAGATAATGGGGTAAAAATGTCATAATATAAGGTGAGTAATTAAAACCTACTAATTTTATAAAGTAAGAGGTTAAAACTTATTAAATTTATAAGATGTGAAACTAAAATTTATCAAATTTATAAGGTGCGACACTAAAACTTATTAATTTTGTAAGTTAAAAAGCTAAATGTCAGTTTTTGCCGAAGGAGCTAGGAGGGTCGGGTCTGTGATTGATTGGAGACCACTTTGTTGTTTCTTTGTTCTGGGCTACAGGTGGAAAGTTCGTAATGAATGGAATAAGATAATAGCCCTCATTTTTTTGTGATTATTACGAAAGTATTCTTGCTTATAACTTTCCCCTTTTGGTTGCTAGTAAAGGTAGATTCACTGACTAGTTGTCGTTCGCATAATATTTATTTTATAATTCAAAATGTATAAATTTATAAAATAAAAATTATTAAACGATAGAAATCTTTTAATATAAAAGGTTTGAATTTTTTTAATGATTAATATAATATAATTTAGTATAATTTATATTGTATTATATTTTTATATATAAAAAAAGTTTTACTTACATACAACTCACATATATTATATTTACATAATTCAGACTATATAAATTTGTAAAATAAGAATTATTAAATGAGAAAGTGTTTTTAATATCAAAAGGCTCTTAGGATCATAAGGCTCAACTTTTTTTAATGGTTAATATAATGTAATTTGGTAGAATTTAGATTATACTCTATTTATATGTATACTTATATATATAAGAAAAGATTCACTTACACATAAATTATGTACACTATACTTATATAATTGAGATTTATTTTAATAATTGAGATTTATTTACATTTATTAAAAATAATTATCTCTTTCACTTAAAAAATCACATTTATTCAAGGGTTTGATTGGAGTTTGAATTTGTTTGACTAAAAATAAAACCAAATCAATTTTAAATGGTTTGGATTTTAGTTACTAAATCTAAAAATTAAAAACCCAATGATTAAGATGAGTATAAAAAAAAATTTGGAGAAAAAAACCTTTTACATAAATTTTTTTAACAGTTTTTAAATTTTTAAAAGATTTTCTAATTATTTTGTATCAAATTATTTATTTATTTAAATAATTTCTTATTTTTAATAATTGAAATTAATAAAATAATAATTAATAAATTCAAAAAATTACTATACGTTACTTTAAAAAATATAACATAAATCAATAAAACACATATTTTTCAATTTAATTATAATTATTAAAATTTAAAAGTTAAAATTTTAATTAATTTATAATTTAATTTCAATCACAACCAAAACCAAATCCTACTCACCTCTATTGATATTATATATATATATATATATGTCTTGTATTTCATAATATCAAAAATAAATTTAGAGAATAGTCTCACTCTTAAGCCTCACCCCCCATGTGCTACAAACGTGCTCATGATGTGGACACTCTCCCACAAGTTTGTCACTACGTACTCTAGTCTAGAAAAACGTTCTACAAAGTCTTCTCCTCTCCATTGAAACAACTCATGCCCTTACCGCTGGACGGTCCACCTTGTGCACCTGTTAAAATTAAGGTACTAATTTTACCCAAGGTTTTTAAAATCGGACCGGATTAGTTGGTTGAACCAGTCGAACCCGATATCCGATGATGAAAATGGTTTGGTTTATATAAAAAAACCATTTGATGTCAAAACCGATCAAAACAGGTCAAAACCGATGAACCAATAGAACCAAAAAAACCACCGGTTCAATTTCTCATGTAATCTTCTTTCAATTTTTTCCAATTTCACCCTCCCCATTCTTTTTTATACCCATTTTAACCTTTAATTTTAACAAAATTACAAAATTATTAGACATCGAATTAGAAAACCCCACCTGCAACTTGCTCCTCTCGTCAAATCTCCTTGGTTGTTTGGACCGATTGGTTCATTGATTCAACCAATTGAACCAATTAAATCAAAAACCAGACCTAAAATGATTTAATAACCTATTCGATTTTAAAAACCTTGGTTTTACCTTCCTCTTTTTTTTTTGTAAGGTAAAATGGTACTAATTAATTAACTTTACCGACAATGGGTATAATTGATTATTAGTGTTAATAGCACGCTTTTAGTGATGTGTTTTTTCACAAATACCGACAGATGCCTCTGTTATTTGTCAACATGCCATGCTATACGAATTTCTTGAAGTGAAGACCGAAGACTCAAGTACAGCTGTTGCTGTTCGGTGGCTCTACTTGATTTCAAAATCCCTAAAGTCATATTTGGTCGGTAGAATAGTGGTTATCGTTTGCTCAATTTATGGTAATGTAAATTTAATAATTTCCTAAAAAAAATAGAAATTTCTAATCTAAAAAGTACGTGTAGTTGATGGTAATGACTATTTTTTTAATAAATTATTAAAAAAATAAAATCAAGGAACTTATATAAAATTCTAAAAGTAACTAAAGTTTAACATTTAATTTTTCTTGAATATTATCAAATAATAAAGGAATATATATTTTTTAAAATATATATTTGTAGTTTGTTTTCTATGGATTCTCTGGGTTGTAAGTTTACTTGGATACGCAAGACTAATGAAAGAGTCATTCTACGGGAGCGGCTTGATCGGGTGCTATCTAATCTACATGGCATTGAGGTGTTTCCTGATGCAAAGTTGATAAATCTTCCTCGTCTCTGTAGCGATCACCATCCAATCATGTTGAATATCAATTCTCCACCCCGGAGGCTTCATGTGGCCAAGCCAATTCGTTTCGAAGCAGCTTGGTTAACTCATGATGATTTTAAGGCTGTGTTTTCTAGTGCATGGAGTTCTCATGCCAACTCACTACCTTTAGCTATTCGTGCAGTTCAAACAGCTTGCTGTAATTGGAATAAAACAGAGTTTGGTGATCTTTTCCGCCGGAAGAGGCTACTGAAAGCTCGCCTAGTGGGGATCCAAAACTCCCCTCACTACTTGCATTCTCTTTTTCTTCAAAGCCTGGAATCTGAATTATTGGAAGATTATCATAAAGTCTTGCATGCTGAGGAATTGTTTTGGTGTCAAAAATCTCGAGTTGAGTGGATTGCTTCCGGGGATCGAAATACAAGGTTCTACCATGCTTCAACGATTATGAGAAGGGCACGGAATAGGATCACGACATTGAAGATAGATAATTCTTGGGTCATTGATCCTATTGCCTTGAAATCTCATGTTCGTGACTTCTTCATTGATTTGTTTTCTAGAAGAGAGACTCAAACTACCTCTCGGGACTATTCTCATCTCCAATCCCGATTATCCGATACAGATAGTGCTTCCTTATTGCTTCCCGTTACTATGGAGGAGGTTAGAGCTGCCCTTTTTTCAATGAAAGGTCTGAAAAGTCCAGGCCCATATGGTATTCAGCCGATTTTTTATCAGCAGCATTGGGATACTGTCTCAAGTACTCTCTATTCTTTTGTCAATAAAGCTTTTACGGAGGGATTTTTTGAATCCACTTTGCTCCAGGCACATATTACTCTTATTCCAAAAGGAGAAAATCCAGATATGATTCACAAGTTCAGACCTATTTGCCTGCTGAATGTTGCTTACAAGATCCTGTCTAAAGTGATAGTTAATCGACTGCGCCCTCATTTACAGAGCTTGATCGGTCCTTTACAAAGTAGTTTTCTCTCTGGACGGAGCAGTACAGATAACATCATTCTTGTCCAAGAAGCTGTGCATTCTATGCGCAGACTAAAGGGTAAGAAAGGAGCTTTAGCTTTTAAGATTGATCTCCATAAGGCCTTTGATAGTGTGAATTGGGACTTTCTTCAAGAGGTGCTGGTTGATTTTAATCTTCCTGATCCACTTATTCGGTTGATTATGTTTTCTGTCACTTCCTTACAACTTGCTGTTCTTTGGAATGGGGAGGAATTGCCATTTTTTCTTCCTGAGAGAGGACTACGTCAAGGGGATCCTTTATCACCTTACCTCTTTATTATGGTCATGGAGAAACTCTCACATATGATTTTCAGCAGGATACAAGAGCGTATATGGAAGCCCTTTCATATCTCACGTGGGGGCTTGGCTCTTTCACACTTGTTTTTTGCAGATGATCTTATGTTATTTGGGACAGCTTCAATATCCC